CAGACTGATCCTATGCTTACTTACATTTGCTTACTGTTTCCTTTGCTTACTGATCATCTGCTTATTGATCAGCTTACTGATCATCTGCTTATTGATCAGCTTATTGATCACACTGATGAGCGTTCATAAATACTGCTTACTATACATCTAGAATACATATATAAGTAGCTGGCTGTAGTCCTGAGTCCTCAGTTCTTACTGTTGACTTCAGGCAAGTACTTACTTCGCATTTTGGCAATGCACAGAGTTCTTACTGTTGACTTCAGTTCTCTGTGCCTGCCTGATTCTAACAGGTTATGGGCCCCGGCCTTTGAACATCTCTAAGTCTTTGAGATCTTCATCCATCTGCATTTTCGCATTTCTGCATCTGCATCTGCATCTCTCCAAGTCCTTATAGTGTGTGTGACCTTTGTAAATAGGAACACCAACTGTTGGGACGAATCCTCTTTGCGAGGCAGTCTTTGATCCACCAGAAAACAAACGGTAGTCAATCCGTTGATTTTGGGGTTAGGGCCTAAGTGCCTTACAACTGGGTGTTCATTAGTATCATCTACCTACCTACGTATCATTTCTTCTCCACACACACTCCTGAGGACACCAATTGTCAATAGGCATTGGTTCTAGCTTTCTCTTGCTTGCACTTGCACGATGTGGCCTCCTGCGATGTCATCTTGTTCCTCTATTCCTGCTCCTGCTCCTGCTCCTGTTGTTGCCCCTGCGCATTTTTGCGTCTTCTGTGGAGGGCATACCCACTTTCTTCTCCAATGTGACCAGTTTCTGGATCTCACTGGAAAGAAGCCCAAAAAGAAGAAGGGTGCAGCAACTCCCCATCATTATGCCTCTCATGCGGACATCACCCTCCACTCTTCCTTAGCTCTGGATGACCGATGGACTGCTGACTCTGGTGCAACTTCGCACATGACAAACCGTCGTGATTGCCTGTTGAACACACGTCCATATAGAGTCCCCATCACGGTTGCCAATGGAGGTGTTGTTTACTCCGAGCTTGTGGGGGAGATCCGTCTGAGACCAATGATAGATGGGTGCTATGCCCAAGAAGTCATTCTCACAAATGTCCTCTATGTTCCCTCACTTGCTCAAAACCTCATTTCCACCACCTACCTGTCTCGCATTCATGGCTACTCCATTCTCATGCAAGGGTCCGTTATTACCTTTAGCAAAGATGGAGAGACCTACTTTGAAGCAGACATCAATGAGAGGAACCAGGCATTTGTGAGAGAGGCTCCTTCTGTTGGTTCAGCTTTTGCTGCTTCGGTCACCTTGCCTCTTGATCTGGACCTATTGCATCGCCGGCTTGGTCACCATGCTGTTGCAGATGCCCAGAAACTCTTGAGCAAGGGTCTGGTCACTGGTGCGAAGCTCACTTCAACCCAGAAGCCAGATCCGATTTGCGAGCCCTGTCTTGCAGGCAAACTGAACGCTGGTTCTTTTCCTTCCACTGGACATCGTTCCAAGGCTCCTCTTGATTTGGTTCACTCTGATCTGAAGGAATACACGGTCTACACCCGAGAGGGCTGGAGATATCGTGTTCTCTTCATTGATGATCACACAAGCTTCAAATGTGCATTTCACATGAAGCGCAAGAGTGGTACCTTCAATGCATTCAAAATCTTCAAGGCTTATGCTGAGAACCATTTTGGACGCAAAATCAAGGAGTTCCAAGACGATGAAGGTGGAGAGTACATGTCTAACGAGTTCAAGAACTACTTGCTCGCTGAGGGCATTGTGCGCCGTCATTCGACGAGGAACAGACCACAGCAGAATGGGACAGCAGAGCGCGGTAATCGCACTACCGATGAGCACACTACGGCTATGCTTCATGAAGCCAACCTGCCACCGTCCTTTAGGGCGCTCGCAGTTGCGGCATACATTCATGTTGCTAATATGCATCCAACGTCTCACATTCCGGAGAACACCACTCCATTTGAGCTTTGGTTCAAACGCAAGCCGGACGTGTCACACCTTCGGGTGTGGGGCTGCCTTGCATACGTGCATGTGCAGAAGGATAAGAGGGACACTTCTGGTATTCATTTCCAGAAGTGCATCTTTGTGGGGTATCCTGCAGAACACAAAGGGTGGACATTCTACAATCCTGTCAACAAAAAGATAGTGATATCCGAGCGCGCTGTCTTTGACGAGCGCTACTTCCCTGGGAACAAGCCTTCTATGATGCAGCAATGTCCCAAGACTCCTCCTTCTGCCTTTGTCGAGCTACCTCCTCGTATCAAGCCACAAGTGGTGCACGATGACGGGGGAGACGACGAGGATGATTCTGGTGTTCATCGAGCACCTCCTGTGCCAAATCCCAATCCTATCGAGCCAGCTCCTTCCCCTCCACATTCCCAACCTGCCAGCCGCGCTAATTCACCTCCACCTCCTGCACAATCTCCATCCAATTCACCATCACCTCCTCCTTCACCTCCTGGTTCTCCAATCGGTATTGCTGCGCGTCGCCGCTTCCACGGTATAGCCACGCCGCACATGCCTCGTCGGGACTGGTGGACAGTCAGACAGCCTACCCCAATGGTCTCTGACTCTGAAGATGATGTTGAAGAGCTGTTGCAACCAGACGATGCTCTGCTTGTTGCGCATGAGGGAGATACAGATGATGAGGAGCTTCAAGCTGCAAATGCTGCATCGGTGCAGTTGGCTTGCGCTGCCGTTCAATCTGGCAATCCTCGCACCTATCACGAAGCTTTGCGACGTGAAGATGCACACCTTTGGGAAGAAGCTGCTATCTCCGAGATAAACTCTCTCCTGGAGAACTGCACTTGGGATGTTATCGATGCACCTCCTGGTGTGAAGCCCATTCGCTCGCAGTGGGTTTTCATCATCAAGCACAAGTCTGATGGCTCCATTGAGCGCTACAAGGCGAGACTCGTTGCAGACGGTCGTGGCCAGCGTTATGGCATCGACTACACCGAGATCTTCTCCCCTACATCCAAAGCCTCGACGCTCCGCATCATCTTTGCTCTTGCTGCTCAGCATGAACTTAGGCTTCGTTCCATTGACTTCTCCTCTGCCTATCTTAACGGAGATCTGGATGAGGATGTCTACATGACTCAGCCTGAAGGATTTCCGCAGGGAGAGCGAGGCCAGCTTCTTAAACTGCGCAAGTCACTTTATGGGCTTAAGCAGGCTGGCCGTCAATGGCACAAGAAGTTGTGTGCAAAGCTGGAGTTTATTGGCTTCAGCTGCCTCCAGTCTGATCGCTCGTGCTACGTCTTCTTCGATGGCACGGTACGCATCATCCTCCCCATCTACGTTGATGACGGTATGATTGCTGCAAAGCATGATGCTGACATTGACCGAGTTATTGCTCAACTTGGCTCTTCATTCAAAGTCAAGGATCTTGGTCCTACAGAGTGGCTGCTGGGGATCAAGGTTGAGCGTGACTCGCCCACTGGAGCGGTGCACCTTTCGCAGCGCCAATATGCTGTGAACATGCTTGAGCAGTTTGGCATGGCTGATTGCAAGCCTGTTCACACTCCCATGACTCCTGGTCTTGTTTTGACCAAGGACACTCCTCTTGAGGAGGCCAAGCAGTATGGACCGAAGTATCTGTCCTCTGTTGGGTCTCTGATGTACCTGTCCACGCAAACGCGTTCAGACATCTCCTTTGCTGTTGGGTACCTTGCCCGGTTCAACAGCAACCCAGGCAAAGCGCACTGGGATGCTGTCAAGCACCTGATGCGCTACATCAAAGGCACACTTGATTACCGCCTCACTTATCGCAAAACATCACCCTCATCACATCCTTTCACCACCCACTTCGCTGCAGCAAAGCCTGACTCTCAGCTTACTGCTTACTCCGATGCATCTCACGGAGATTGCAAAGAGACTGGAAAAAGCACTGGTGGTTATGTGCTCTTGATGAATGGTGCTCCTGTGAGCTGGCGAAGCAAGCTGCAGACTACAGTCGCTCTATCTACTACAGAGGCTGAATATGTCGCAGCTGTGGAGGCTGGCAAGGAGATAAAGTGGGTGCGCAACTTGCTGTTTGAACTGGGCTATGGAGTGTCTGGAGCTTCTCCCCTTATGATGGACAATCAGTCTGCTCTTTCTGTTGCTAAAAACCCCGAGCATCATGGTCGCATGAAGCACCTTGACTTGGCTTACTTCTGGCTTCGTGACGAAGTTGCCAAGGGCTTCATCGCAGTTGAATACACTCCAACTGAAGAGCAGATTGCGGACATCTTCACTAAAGCGCTTGCTGTTCCCACTGTGGAAAAGCTGCGTTCTATGATGGGATTACGGGGGAGCTAGACGAGATTGGTCTCGTCCCGGGGGAGTGTTGCAGTGTGGGTTTGGACTCTACCATTCTCGCATCTCTGATCCTTTGATCCTGTCTGTTCCAGACTGATCCTATGCTTACTTACATTTGCTTACTGTTTCCTTTGCTTACTGATCATCTGCTTATTGATCAGCTTACTGATCATCTGCTTATTGATCAGCTTATTGATCACACTGATGAGCGTTCATAATACTGCTTACTATACATCTAGAATACATATATAAGTAGCTGGCTGTAGTCCTGAGTCCTCAGTTCTTACTGTTGACTTCAGGCAAGTACTTACTTCGCATTTTGGCAATGCACAGAGTTCTTACTGTTGACTTCAGTTCTCTGTGCCTGCCTGATTCTAACAGTACGGTCTTTGATGAGCACGAGAAGCTCAACCGCAAAATTCTGTACGACTTGGCTAAAAGCCTCTGCAGGGAGAGAATTGCGACCAAATGGTCACTTTTTTGGACAATTTTTCTACAAAGTACCGCTCCAAGGTGCAGGTCTAATGACTGCTAGTTTTTAGCTTCTCTTTGCTTTGTTTTTGTACTTGTCTCTCCGTCTCAATAATCCCATAGGTTATCTTGTGATCATCGCCTATTTTCTTGTAGATTGAATTGAAGTCGGATATATTTCTTGGTGGTCCAAGGTCATTTAAATTGAATGGACATGTCGGAGCATTCAGGTCTTAAGCTGTAGCCCGGTTGCGGATGGTCCGCGCCTGCACCAGGTATATATTGTTGATCATCATACACTGCATGTGTTGCTGGTTCGACTCCAGCCCGGGCTACAAGGGTCAAATATCATGCACTTTTTTTTTCTAGTTCCGACTCACAGTCAATCAATTGAGAGGTGTACCAGTACAACACTTCATGTCGCCAGTGAGCTCACCTTTTTGCCGCTGTTCTTGATGGCCTATGGTGATCTGTCAGTGCTTGCAGTGTGAGGATTCACGAGGAAGTTGGATTCAACCCAAAGCTTTGGTGTGTGGCAACTTTTGTAGCTATCCAGGCTTAACACAGTATTTCAGGGAAAGCTGGGAGCAGTCACATGGGACAGTTGAAAGTGAATTCAGCCGAAAGCCAGTGGATAGAAAAAAAACATTTTTTTGCATCGTTCTACGAACACCTGCCCCGAGTCGAACGGGAGAGCACCGCATAGCTTGTTTAACTTCAGGTTATCAATATCAATGAATGCAGGTGCACTCCAAGTGGTACAGGTCTTGTTTCGATCCAGGATACAGTGTATTCAAGAGCGTTGTGATACCACATAGGTGAAATTGGTGTAATCACCCACCTTTTCACGCCAAACAGGAGTCGTTCGATCTCAATAAATGCCCAATGCTCACACTACAGTCCCTCCTTGCGGAATACGGACAACCTCGAAGAAACTTTGAATTTCCTTTTCGAACTTACTTCTAGAGTTCCGAGATCACCGGGACCATCCAAAAAGGGCAATAATACGATCAACTGTCAAACGACTCTTTCACGCAGTTCAAAACCCCGAATTTGCTGTCCATTCACCCCAGTTTCTCCACCCAGACTCACTCCAGAATATTATACCAATACCCCGGGACCAATCATCTTCTGTTGCCATCTCATCTTTCCCTGAAACCCTTCACGATATTGCGTCGCACGCTTCTTTCGGCCATATCGAGTTAGCCTCACTCACGCGGATGAACTCTGAAGCCTATTGAATTGGCCTAAATATGCAAATCACACAGTGTAACCACCTGGACATTGGAACCATGCGGTTCGGACATTTATTTCTTTATCACCTCGTTTCACGTTGCTTCTGATTATATTTTCTACATATGCTCGTATCCACCGTGATCGGTTTCATGACTAAATCTCCTTATTTGTACTCAGATCTTCCCATGCTTCTCGGTTCCGAATTACTTATAATGCTCAGTAGAACTTGTAGTTAGGTTGTTGTATTTTTGTCCCCGTAATCTGCGTATAAGAATTACACTCAAGTGCACCCAAACTATCTGCTTTTCTGGACACCATATCTCGCCTCAAAACCTCTCGTAGTGAAGCAGTCTTCACTACGAACTCTTACCTCTGGTCGCCGAAGACCTTTCGCCACTGAACACCCTGAACTCGCCGTACTTACTAACCGTTTAGCGTTTACAGGCTTCCGTTGCCCAAGACTCGTTCCCAGTGGAACTTGTCCATATCTTCCCCTATCTTCCGACTTCTACGCCACTCCCAAAAGACATTCGTGATTCTTCGTTTGTCTGGAAGGCAGTCAATACTTGTGCGCTTTGTAAGAGTTGATCAAAAACCTTCCGCCATTCGTGTATTGTGATAAACGATACATCCAATCGATACGCGAAGTAAATTCTTTTACGACAGCACAGCGTCTGTGGGTCCATTGCAACATGCCTAGCACAGAGTGATTTCAGGGCAAGAGTGAAAACAGGCCAGAACGTGCAAACATATGCCCGAATGCGTGGTACAGAAGTTTTGCTTGGGGTTGGTAAATTTCACTGTACATACAGGCACAGAGGCAGAAAGACAAGTGCAAAAAACGGCAATCACTGGTACTAATGCACCTGGCCCGAGTCAAACGGGGTTGGGACCGCGGAAGAGTGATCATATATTCAGCATAGAGTGTGATCGCACTCCAAGTGCTACAGGTGCTGGATATATACAGCATGCGGCGCGGTCAAAATACTAGGTGCTAGACGGTGGTGGCGTTAGACTGATATTGACCACACAAAATTGGTGCTGCGGGACGGATGGCAAGAGGGCAACAGGTCTGGGGCACAGATCGCAAAAGAGCAAAAGTACAGCTATTATAGTGAACGCCGCCTGGCCCAAATCGAACGGGTGCGCTGCACAATCGGAAAACAAAATCAACATATAGATGCGGGCGCACTCCAAGTGCTACAGGGGCTGATTATATAGGGGATACAGCCGCATGTTTGATTTCCATCTGGCACCGCCGGTCATGGGTTCCGCAAGCTCTGACTCTTTTTGCCCTTGCGGTGTTCTGCGGCTGACCAGCTGATCAACCGAGATTATCCTGACGCAGCCAGAACAACCCGGACTTGGAGCATATGTGATGATGGCATGACAAAAGAACCTTAACGGCAGAGCACAAGGGTTTTGGTGGGATTTGAACCTACGGCGACCGATTATCTAAACAACTCGACGCTAGTCATGTAACCAGTACTCGAAGCCTGAGCTGTGAAGATATGGAGGGAGTTGGATTCGACCGAAACCTTGGCGTGCGGCAACAGTGTGCAGTGCTTTGATTTCGCGGCCTTTGAGCCAGCGTCATTTTCTTTCTCTTTTTTTACAGGTGCATGCTCCAGGTAGATGCTATGGATGTACAATTCTTTACTTTCTGTCACTAGTCGCCGCGATGGACATAATGTACTTTGTTTAGGGTTAACGTGCATTCCAAGCCTGTTGATGAGCTGCCAGGCCTATTTCACATGGGGAAAAAAAAAAAAAGTTTGAAGAGTGGAAGTGTCTTCGAAGTGTCTTCGGGCCGACTCGAACCGCTAACCCGCCCGCCTTTGGTCAAAGGAGCGGTGGCATATACTGATCCACGAGCACTTTCACGGTGTTAATAGCGCCGTGACCTATGTTCTGCAGAAGTGGCCTGCTGTCACTGAACATAGGAATGAAGGTGTCTGGCCTTGGCCACCACTGCAAGCTCAAACCCGAGCTCAAACGTCAATCTCAAACGTCAATCGGGGTTCTTCTTTGTACTCAGGAGATGTTATGTTCTTGCCCGGTTGAGTGCGTCAGAGTTGCATGCGCATCTGGGACTAACCGATAGACGAATTTTGATGAATGAATTCGTCCGGTGGTACCTTCTGCAATGGTCAACTCCCTGATATCTCACTCACACCAACAAGTTGATTCTAACCCATTTCATGACGCCAACATGCGGTCTACCAAGCCTTTGCAGATCGGTGAGGATCACTCCCTAAAAATGGTGAGTCCAGCGATTACCAGGGAAAGCGTGGGGTTCGATTCCCCGTGAAGGTGTATTGAGCATGTGTTTCATTTTTGGGAGGATATCGCAGGGGAAAATTGTGCCAGGCAATCGATTACTAGCCCATTGATTTATGGTATTACAATTCGGAAAGGAAAGCAGGTGGTAAACGAGGTGAACATTGAACCGACGCTTGAGTCGCAAGAAAAAGAGAAATGCCTGGACACACTGGATATGAAGAGTTATACATTCAGTCTCGTTCTTATTACAGGAGGTATGCTCGCACTTGATAGAGTTGTACTAGAGATTAGAAGAGCTACTGAGAATCTTCCCTGGCACCAGCAAACGACTCCACCGATGTGTGCTCATTGGCCTTGTTGAAGGCGACGAGCAGACGGGTGCAGAAAGGGATAGTATACCCCATGCTATGAGCCCTGCAGAGCCGTGTCGTTCCATGTATGTATTCCAGGCGAAAAGCCATGAGGGTGGCTGCAGCCTGCTTGACCCTGACCCGAAGCGAGACATCGACGAAATTGCCGCCTCCGTCGATGGGCCACTTGCTCAGATCCTCCTGCAAGTCAGCAACCCTAGACTGTTGCGATGACCTCGTCCGTCGGCCCGAGGTAACATTGGGCTCCGGCAACACAGTCACAGCCGGTAAAGGATCCACTTTGTGAGCGACATTGAATGAGAGACCTCACTTTGCATAGGCAGGATCAGTGTGGGACCACCTGCAGGTCTGGTCAGGGATTGGACAGTCAAATAATGGAGGGAGCTTACGCCGAATAGTCCTGCAAGAACATACCTTCCGATGAGGCACGTTTGAAGGTGGGGAAAGCAAACTCGTGCCCCGCAATGTTGAAGCAGTATCTATCACCTGAGCATCTGAGTAAGCTGCTGGAGCAGGGTTGACGATGGAACATATAACGGACCGGGAGCACCTGCCGAGTCGCCATGCGGGGGAGACCTGCGGTCTCTAGATGCTTCTCAATTTCGCCAGTGACTTCAATGGGGAGGAATGCTTTGCAGGCACTCCAGGTGAGCATCATTGCTGCGATCACATCTTCATCTTGGTCAACAGCTGTCTCTGCTGGCAGGTCCTTGGTGTAGCTCTTGGCGAGGCCAAAGACCCGAGCATGGCGGGGGCCTGCATTCCATCCGACCTGCACAAGGGTACTATCGTGAGTTGGCTGAATGGAGGATTAGAATTTAATTTCCATGACTCGGTGATAAACATGCACTCGAACATTGCACCGTTCCCAACAGGCTGCGATGATTACTTTTTCGAGCCAGGGGAAAAGATCATCAGAGAAGGTAGCACTGAATAAGACACCGCAGAGCACGATGAGTTTTCACCGGCGACTGCAGTCGGGAGATTAGCTCTGCAGATGGTGCAGGGAGCAGAAAACATACAATTGTGGCCGACAAAGATCACAGAGTCGCTGATATCAACGTCCACAAAGTTGTTGGCGTCATCGATAACAAAATCAGGTTCTGTGCGACACTTGGTATCGTAAAGGACGGTATACCGGCCAATCGGCGGGGCCTGCCTTTTGCACCAGACAATCTGCGGGTTCGCCAAGGTGCCAACATCAAGCCTGGATTGTGTAGCTTCGATCTCCCCAATAGTTCTTGGTCAGTCCGAAGCGATGGATCTGTGACGCATGATGTGTCAGAGTAGAGGCATGTTGGGCGAGATGATAATACCAGGTTTTGTTTCTCCCGATGACTGGCAGCACCAGTCAAGCTGCGAGCCTGCAACTTAGCCATGCGAACACTGGCTTTCAAGGCTTGACAGGCTTTGGTGAGATGGGCGGAAGATTTCGACGATTCAAA